ACCACACCAACGCTGGGCGGCCCCGCCGCAGGCGCTCGGCCAAGTTTCTCTCTCCATGGCTAAAAATAGCTCCTCTCCATGAGCAGGAAAGCTGGATTCACCCTGCGCTGCACAGAGAGGATCCGTTCTGCAGCCACCTGCCCTGCCCCTCGGGTTTGCAGCACGGATGGAACAATATGAGGTGGCAGCCCAGGTTCCTGAGAACTCCCTGGGAGGGAATTCGTGCTGCGTTTTCTGCCCTGGATGATTTTCACAGCGCAAATCACTTTGTGAAAGAGAATAAAGCCACGCTGCGGGGAGCTGGGAGCTGTATGGACGTCTCGTGCTGGACAGGGAGGGATCAAACCTGGGAGGTGAAATCAAACCACGCTGACTATTTCTGCTCTCTTTTGACACATTTTCTCAGGACAGAGCAAGGTTTTGCTGAGGACCGAGCACGTTTTCTGCTCTCCCAAACCCGACTGACTGCCTCCATGCATTTCTGGCTCCCCGATGCTGAATTAGGATACAAAAACCACAGGCTGATTTAAATTCCAACACGAATGTTGTGGCTCCACAGAGCTCCCGAAGAGCTGATCTCTCCCTTCCACACAGTTTTTCTGTGCTTACCTGTTGTATTTGGAGGTGTATCCAGAATAGTCTTCAAAAGCTTCATGTCCTTAATGTTATGGATGTAAATTGACTCCTCCAGGCAAACAACCAGCCTCTGCAAGGACACAAGGGACATGCACAGAACTCAGCAGTATGGGCACAGTGCCCCTGCAGTTCACACACCCAAGTCTTCACTGTTAGAAAAACTCAACAGGGATTTCTCACACATGAAATGTACCAGAAACATGATCTCTTCTTCATTCCCTCTCACTGGACAGCCTTTGATTCTGTATGACTGCTTCCGAGAGCTGCTTGTGTCTGGTCTTGCTTTAGTGAGCAGCTAAAACATCATGACTTCTCTGCTGCTCTTGGGAGCTGATCATCCCCAGACCTCACGAACAGAAGGACATGTCAGGGTTACACCTTACCATAGGCCTTGATTCCCATTCCTTCTCCAACTTCTCTT